GCGCCACCCAGCCCCCCCCCTGAAACACAACACCCCCCCCCCAGCACCGCCCACCCCACGGAAACAACCTCCCCAGCGCCGCCGACCCTCCCCCCCGCGCCATCTGTTCCATGGAATTAAACCCTCTTCCCCAGCGCCGCCCCACCGAAACAGCAGTATTGAACCTCGGTAATATATTATAGCGGCCCCATAGGTAGTATAATTAAGGTAAAAGAAAAATGTCTTTTTGATAGAAGTAGAATAAGATCTTCCCCCCCACTTTGTATTCGATTGCCCTGTTGAATGAATGAGGTGTGAATGAGGAAGGCATGGAAGGCAGGCACCTCTGGACAGCTGCAACGCTTGGAGAGGGCAGGGCCAGCTCTAGGATTTTTGCCACCCCAAGCAAAAAAATTTTTGGCCGCCTCCCCTTTCTTTTTCGTGTCCCTGGCCCCACCCCAACTCCACCCCTTCTGAACCCCTTCCCCAAATCCCCAGCACCGCCACCTCCCCTGGCGTGCCGCATTTCTTGCCCCCATTGCTTCCTACTGGCCCCCCGTGACGTCCCGCCCTAGCTCACCTCCACTCCGCCTGCTCCCCCGGGCATGCCGCCGCTCTCCTTCTCCCCCGTCCCTCTCAGGCGAGGGAGAGCGGAGAAGCGGAGCAGCGGCGCATTCAGGGGAGTAGGCGGCGCGGAGGTGAGCTAAGGTGGGGGGGTGCAGGAAGTAACGGGGGGGTAGAGGAACCACTCCCCGCTCCAGCTCACCTCCGCCGCCTCCCCCGAGCGCCCCGCCACTTGGCTTCTCCTCCCTTCCAGCATTGCTGCGCAAAACAGCTGTTTCGCGCGCAGCAAGCCTGGTAGGGAGGGAGAAGAAGCGGAGCGGTGGCAGCGCGCTCAGGGGAGCAGGTGGAGGCGGAGCGGAGGCGAGCTGGGGCAGCGAGGGCACTTTTTTCCCATGCCCCGGAGTCGGCATCTATGATGGCCGGTGCCAGAATGCCGCCCCTAGAAATGTGCCGCCCCAAGCACCTGCGTGTTTTGCTGGTGCCTGGAGCCGGCCCTGGGAGAGGGGATGGAAGCAAGACCAGATCAGTAGAACAGGTCAGCAACCGACTCACCACTCGCCTCCTCAGCTCCCTTGCCCCGGCTTGCCTACTCACCCCCCGCCACTGCCCGCCCACTCGCCTCCTCAGCCCTCCACCCTCCCGGATCGCCTACTCATTCCCTGCCACTGCCCGCTCGCTCACCTACTCAGCCCCCCTCCCTCACCTGCCGCTTGTCTACTCACCCCCCCCCCCACCCGCGGGCCGCACAATGAGCCCACGCGGGCCGCATGTTGTACAGGCCTGCTCTAATACATTCTCATGCAGCATTTTTCTTATGTTGCTTTTATCAACATTTACTGATAAAAAAATCTAATCCTTCCAAGCCTTTCTCTGTGCTAGAGAGCAGGAGTAAGGAAGTAGAGCTGGCAAGGTGCAGCTCTCTTCTGCAATGCAAAATGCTTAGAGAAGGAGAAGAAGAATGTGATGAATTGTCATTGATGTCAGTGGGAAATGGGCCCATGTGGAATGAGTTAACAACATATGTTAGCAATAGACCAAAGGGGAGATGTTTGTTTCTCAGTCCTGTGCCATTGCCGTCAATGGGAGCAGGACTCTCGGAGCTAGACTGCAGGAACCCTGCTCACCATTGCTCAGCACTTCTTTCCATTCACAGCAATGGGTCCACTTGTGTGAACAGCTGCTCGCCAACATGAGTAAAGGTTGGACAACCTGGTCCTACGTTATTTACAGTTCAATTACCAGACACAGCAAGGGCCAGATTCTCAGCTGACGTTGAAGTCAATAGCTCTCCCCCCCCCCCCCGGCCATCTCACAAGTTGCCTGTTGGCCAT